GAGCAATGGCTTAAAATCATAATTAAGAGCTCAAAAAATGCTCAAATTTTTTGTTTTTGGATCTACTACAAAATTTTGAGGTGGGACTTGAAACAAAAAAATGTTGCTCTAAAATGAAGCACCCTAATAAATATATATCTATCTATCTATAGATATCTATCTTTTTTAAGAAAATAAGATTAAATTAATATTAAATTGAGAAACATAACCTTAATAATTCGACTTAATATCTTTACCATATTAAAAAATATTATTCTGTCATATAGATAAGTTATTCAGATTTATTTTTTAGGACCAAGAGTTGGTTTTTCACACTGTCCACATTGTTTATATTATTCAAATTTAAAAATATTTTGCTTTGGTTATTATATTTTGGTTATGTTAAGGGATTTTAATATAATCGACTTACCTGTTATTCAGTAACAAATTATTAACAAAGGTTAATGCGTTAAATAAAGCCAATAAATTACAGAACAAACAATAAATATACAAAATAAAAACTTTCTATGATAAAAGCGTACGGACGGGACAAATCACAATACTGTTTTTATAAAAAAAAATGTAAGTAATTTATTATTTAGTGTGACCCATTTGTTTGGGACCCCTGTAAAATCTTTATATATTGTGCGATTTTAACCGGATTTGTTTTAAAGTGTAGATCTTGATAAACTGTATTTTTAAAACAAAAAACGCCATATTAGTACAAAATACAAGGCCTACTATGTCAGTTTTTAAGAATTCATATTAGCGATTTTTTTAAACAAAATCTAAGCACGGCACTGGATTCACCACCCCTCAAAACGACCCTATAGTAAATTTTATTGAAACATTTTAAGAAAAAATGCACAATAATAACTAAAAAAAATTATTTTGTCAAGATATCCATAAAAAAACTTATAGTATATTAGTTTAATTATATTTTAATGTTTTTTCATGTATAACATGGCAAAATAATTTTTTGTGTTATTATTGTGCATTTTTTTCTTAAAATTTTTCAATAAAATTTAGTTTGTTTTGAAAAATCGCTAAAATGAATTCCTAAAAATTTACTCTTAAAAACTGGCATAGTACCCCTTGTATTTTGTAAAAATATGGCGTTTTTTGCTTTAAAAATATAATTTATCAAGATCTACACTTTAAAACAAATCCGGTTAAAATCGCACAATAAATAATGATTTTACAAACGGGTCACACTGTATATTATTTTTGCATCAAAATTGTCAAATATATTCTTATTTTATTAGGCTATACAAAAAATATTTTATAAAAGTAGAAATAATTAAGGTGTGGACTGTACAAGATAAATCTTTTTTTTTTGTCCCGTCCACACCTTTTAATTTATAAAATATTTCTTGCGTTTTTTTAAATTTAATTTATAAGAATATTTTTGACAATTTTGATGTCAAAATATTATATATCTACACTTTTTTATAAAAACAGTTTGGTAATTCTTGCGTTTCGTAAAACAAATTGAATGCTACGTTACCAATGTGCGATGAAAAGAAATATTTTTTCTATAATTAAAATATTTTTGACAAAATGACAACAAAAGCTAAATTAATATAATATTATTATTCTACTAATATAACAAGTCTTGCCAACCACAATTTTAAGCGTCCTGATTGGTCTAAATTCAACTCAACGCTTTATAGCGTTAGTAATTTCCACATTACCTCTCACCAATAGATTCTTATTTATCTATAAAATGTTTCATTGCTTTCTTGATGTTTTACTAGTGCTCATACATTGAAATGTAAACCCTGGATCCATTACACAAATTACATCGCTCGAAATAAGAAAACTTTGTTTATAAAAGTAATAAACGTAAACCCCGACGTTATTTATAAAGTGCCATCGTAAAATATGCGACAAGGTTTAGATGGTATCTGTTTAAACGTCCAAAAAACATTCAAATAATGTCCTCCGGAGAATGTTAAAACAGCATTCATTTATGTCATCTGTTGCTATAACATTAGCATAATTATGCGTTTTGATAACAATCTCGGAGCTAATGGAGTTTATGGGATGAAAAAATTAATTAGCATTCTTTGCATGAAGTTAAGAGGCACTATTGTGATAAAATAAAAGCTCACCACGTTACCAAAGTTAGTACAGAATATAATCAGTTAAGCGTTAAAAATCTGACCTGTTCCGTCATCTATACTAATCTCCAGCACGTGATGAAAACACGGAAATTTGACTTAAGTTAAACCGAAATATTATTTATTAGTGTAAACAGCTGCTCTATTAAAATAACGTTAACCTATTTGTATGATTTGGAAACCAATAACTTTAATATAAACAAGGTGTTCATTAAAATACTTTATTATACAACTATACACTACATCTATTTATTGCGTCTGATGGCCTCAAGTCTTCGCGTTAACGCTGAAGGTATATTCCGCCTTTTAATATCTTTGTGAAAAATATTTTCATCGACTTGGGTTCGTACTTTTTTGGTTTCCTTCTTTTCGACAGGAGAATTTCCATTTAGAGCCTTGAAAATCGTTTTCTGTTGGTGATTTTCAAGGGTTAACTTGTAAACATTACCAAACTCTTCATCGTTTATTATACTTTGGTAGTATACTTCCATATCCGATGGTAGAATACCGTAGCCTATATTGGAAATATATATAAATATTTTTCACACATTCGTCTTCAGTGGTCAGTAAATTCGTTCTAACATCCAAAATTTTTTGCTTAAACTTCTCCCTTTGATTCTCTTTTAAGGAAACGCCGTTTAGGAACATTTGCGAGGCAAATAATTTAACATTTTTTACTTCCTTTGACTTTAATAGCAAACTCAGCAGCGTTATCAAAGGTACGCTTAGAAATACCAAAACCTCACCTGAAGCAGTGCGAGCTTTGTTGTAAAAAAACCCAAGTATTCTTACGGACATTCTGGAACCATCATCCTTCACAACGCCTGATTTCTTGATAGAATCGAAGTTTTTATGCATACATCTAATGAATATCGAACGGACGTTCTCCCCTGCTACTTCCAGCGTCACAAATTTGATCGATGTCAACAGTAGCAAAACTTTTGCTGACAAAACTGCATCCTTCAGGCTATTTTTGTACAGAGACTTGACGCTTTTTTGTACATCCTCTTTGGTCGGGCAGTTCGCAGTCCATTTTTCCAGAATGAACCTTATTTTTTGGTTAAAACGAATTCCATCATCGTTGATGTCCAAGAATTTGATTCTCGATTGGAGTTCTGAATTTGCTGACATGGTTGTTGTTCACTCTGTAAAACTTGTTTATATAATGATTTGTTTGATTTGGGTGTGGAATTATATAATTATGATCTCTACCTATTATCTGTTGAGGTATGTTAGTGCAGTTACAATTATTTTTAAGATTTTTACCTTAAGTATTGTATTTTTGGGTAAGATATAATTATACCTGGCGAATTCAAAACATATTTTTAGTGTAATATCATAAAATTAAAAGTAATTGATATCAAAATAAAAAGCAAATACCTAACATTGACGAATTTAAAAATGACGATATGCTAAAATAAATATAAATAAATACATATTTTAGTAATGATTTTCGTGAAAATTGTAAACATTTCAATTCAGTAAAAATCATAAAACAAGTAATGCAGAAAGGTTGATTTGTTTATATCAACTGATTTAGCATATCAGTGGATTTAGGTTTTTGCACGATATGGCAACGCAGTAATTTTTTTTAAAACTGTTATTTTGTAAAATAAATTGGAAAATTATCTTTAAAACGTTTTTATTACCTCTAAAACCATAATTTCTACACTCTAGAAATTAAATCCGCTTATATAAGTCCTGGTTTACTAGATTTGTTGTTTGGCCAATAAAATAATTTATATGAGTCTTTAACGACTGATTTAAAATATGGATAACAATACAGCATTTTTGTTTGTAAATATATATGAAAAAATATATTCAAAAGGTAAACAAACCTATAATAAAGATGTAATTAAAAAATAACATTTTTTAAACATAAAATTACTGTTATGTTAATCATATCAAATATCTTTGATGTTTTTTTGTCTGACCAAAAAGCTGAATGATTGAAATCAATTAATTTATTAGTTAATATTAATAATAATAATAATCTTTATTTAGTTCAAAATGCATTATACATATGTACCATTGGGTGTAGAACACGTCACAAAAATAAACAAGGAATAAACTAATACAAAGTTACATGCACAGCATAAATTAAATAAAATAGGTAACAAAAAATATATATAAAAAAAATTTCTACGAAATAACTACATAAGTACCACCAAATCAAAATTGTCGTCCTTTAAAAACTCATCTATTGAATAATAACACTTATTAACCATAATATTCTTTAAAGTCCTTTTTAATGTTTTTTCAGGAATATCTCTTATTTCAAATGGAATTCTATTGTAAATTCTTATCACAGAATATGGAACATTTTTTTGTAAGTAAAGATAATTTAATCTATCACAGTTTAAATTATTTTTAAAGCGAGTGCTGTAAATGTGACTGGTGTTAAATTTTTTAAACATATTTTGATTTCTCTTCACAAATAAAATTGATTCATATATAAAAATACAATAAACAGTTAAAATTTTAAAGTTAATAAAATAATCTTTACATGATTCGAGTTGATTTAATTTAAAAATACTTCGAAGACATCTTTTTTGTAAAACAAAAATTCTATTTATATCTGGTGAATGAATCCAAAATATAATTCCATACATAATTTTTGATTGGACGTATAAGTTAAATGCTGTTATTGCTGCATTTACATTAATTAAATTAGTTATAATTTTTAAAGCAAAGCAATATTTACTTATATTACATGCGATGTTTCTTTATTTAAATTTTGTGAACTAATTACGGAACATAGAGCATCATAGACTGCTCTAATAGTGGATCTTTTTTCTTAAAACCATTTTGACTTTCAGTAATAATATTGTGTTTATCGAGAAATTGAATAACTCTGTGATATATCACTTTTTCAAAAACTTTATAGTTATTAATTTCATTTTTCTTACCTTTTTTATATTTATTTAGTTCCATTGTAAAAGAAATTCTAAGAATTAACGAATTACCCCTAACAATATACTTGGGTGAAAATACTTATTGATACATTTTATTATTATTAAAAACACTTAGAGCTGAAAGTATCTTGAAAAAAAAGATACTTGAAAGTAACTTTAATATAAACAAGGTGTTCATTAAAATACTTTATTTAGATACAACTATACAACTATATACACTGACATCTATTTATTGCGTCTGATGGCCTCAAGTCTTCGCGTTAAAGCTGAAGGTATATTCCTTTTTATATCTTTGTGAAAAATATTTTCATCGACTTGGGTTCGTACTTTTTTGTTTTCCTTTCCATTTAGAGCCTTGAAAATCGTTCTCTGTTGGTGATTTTCAAGGGTTAACTTGTAAACATTACCAAACTCTTCATCGTTCATTATACTTTGGTAATATAATTGCATATCTGATGGTAGAACACTGTAGCCTATATTGGAAACTTCCAGTGAAAACATAAGCCAATTTTTTACACATTCGTCTTCAGTGGTCAGTAAATTCGTTCTTACATCAAAAATTATTTGCTTAAACTTCTCCCTTTGATTCTCTTTTAAGGAAACGCCGTTTAGGAACATTTGCGAGGCAAATAATTTAACATTTTTTACATCCTTTGACTTTAATAGCAAACTCAGCAGTGTTATCAAAGGTCCGCTGAGAAATACTAAAACATCACCTGAAGCAGTACGAGCTTTATTGTAAAAAAACCCAAGTATTCTTACGGACATTCTGGAACCATCATCCGTCACAAAGCCTGATTTCTTGGTAGAATCGAATTTTTTATGCATTCGTCTAAGGAATAACGAACGGACGTTCTCCCCTGCTACTTTCAGCGTCACAAATTTGATCGATGTCAACAGTAGCAAAACTTTTGCTGACAAAACTGCATCCTTCAGGCTATATTTGTAGAGAGACTTGACGCTTTTTCGTACATCCTCTTTGGTCGGGCAGTTCGCAGTCCATTTTTCAAGAATGAACCTTATTTTTTGGTTAAAACGAATTCCATCATCGTTGATGTCCAAGAAATTGATTCTCGCTTGCAGTTCTAAATTCGCCGACATGGTAGTTGTTAACTCTGTAAAACTTGGTTAAATAATGATTTGTTTGATTTGGGTGTGGAATTATATAATTATGATCTCTACCTATTATCTGTTGAGGTATGTTAGTGCAGTGGCAATTATTTTTAAGATTTTTACCTTATGTATTGTATTTTTGGGTAAGATATAATTATACCTGGCGAATTCAAAACATATTTTTAGTGTAATGTAATAAAATTAAAATTAATAGATACTTATCAAAATAAAAAGCACATATGTACCTATCATTGACGAATTTAAAAATGACGATATGCTAAAATAAATAGAAATAAATACAAATTGTAGTAATGATTTTCTTGAAAATTGTTAACATTTTAATTCAATAAAAATCATAAAACAAGTAATGCAGAAACGTTGATTTGTTTATATCAACTGATTTAGCATATCAGTTGATTTAGGTTTTTACACGATATGGCAACGCAGTAATTTTCTTTAAAAACTGTTATTTTATAAAATAAATTATAAAATTATCTTTTATCGTTTTTATTACCTCTAAAACCATAATTTCTACACTTGTAACGTATTTTTTACTAATAAATAAAATAACGCACACGCCGGATAGTTGTCAGTTTGACTTCGTGATCGTGTGTTGGTGTTGGTTTCTAAAAATTTAAGTCTTATTTAAAGATGTTTATTTAAATGGGCGCCAAATATTTTAAATTAAACTATGTATTAAACAAGTAAACGAAATATTAAATTTCACTTGAAAAAAAAATATATGTAATAGATGTTAAATAGAAAATTTTATAAATATTATTTAGTTTCTGAAATAAAACAAAAAGATGATAAAATAAAAAAACCAGTTTTTACACACAGTTTTTTAAATCGCGGACAACAAAACAAATAAAATCTACTTATAATTGCATAGCACAGTAAAGAGAAAACAACTGTTATTAATGCTGATATTAAGGTAAGCTTGTAAAACTATCTATAACAAAATTAAGTAAAATACTATACACCTTTTAGCATACACTGGAAGAAATAATAATAATGATTGATTTATAGAATTCATAAAATTGGCAACAACAAAATAATGGAAAACTGCAGTTTACCTTTTACAATTATATAAAATCAGTGAGTAGTATTTCCTTATTTTAAGTAGGCGATGTTCCTAAGGCCTGTTGTTTTCTAGGTTGCTTCGGTTTAGTCGCTGAACCTTCAGGATGGTTCACAATTAGATGACGATGTACAAAGGTAACACAAAGGACAATATATTCTTCACAATCTAACGGATTACTTCTCCAATTTCCACAAAAGAAATGAATACAAGATATTCCAAGAATTATCCTTGTTCTACCTCCTCAAAATTTATATTAAAGATGATATGATGATAAAGTGAAATTTAAAAGTTGTACCCATAAAAAGGTGTACTCAAATAAAAAGGTGGCAATTGTTCTACAACAAAATGAAGCATTAGCAAAATTACCATGTGGCCACATTGACAAAGTGCCAAAAAAATCAAGAAAAATGTAAGTAAATTTTTAAATTAATAAATTAAATAAAAAAAATAATTAAAAGATTTACCTTAAAATAAAGATTTGCCTTGTTCTTTATAATAATAGAATTAAATAAGTTTTTATTTGGCTTGAAACACAACCGACTTCTTCAAAGTATCGAATAGAAAAGAACGTGGCTAGATCTTAAAAAAAGTTAGTAATTTTCATTTAGAACCAAATTTGTTTAGAGGATTTTAGCTTTAACTATAGGCATTACCAATATTTTAATTAATGTAAATAAAAAAATTAATGTGTATTTAAATTTGAATATAATTTAGATTTTAATTTATTTTTAATTTTCAGCCAGCTTCAATTGTCGAAGAAAAATAATAAAAAAATATTCATGAAATTAAATTATGAAGAATAATTACATAACTCTTAAACAATGGTTATTTAATCAATGGAAATTAAACACAAAAAACATAAACAAACGCAAATTGCAAATGACAGCACTTACAAGAAAACTATCACCTATTCCTAGAATCTGCTAGGAAAACGGAAAGAAACTTACATATAAATATAGGTAAATTATATTGTATAATACAACTAATACTTTGCAAGTATATTACTATTTGTTTTCAGGATTCATAGAAAATTCATGAAGGTCATGTGGAAGTTATGGCTGGAAATATTGGACAAAATTTAAATATTTAAAAGTGATATTATACAGTATGGAGCAGAATTGAAATAAATTATGAAACTAACTCATTTTATTGTTTACCTTTGCATTTTAACACAGTATAATTATGCAGATGTTTATTACCAAAATTTTCTGTAAGCATAAATATGACTAAAATTCACAATTCCAATTAAAATTTTTGAAACGGCACTTTTGCCCGTTACACACTCTAGAAATTAAATCCGCTTACACTGTTTAAAATATCTGTGGTGTAAAAAGTAATCTTAAAATGGTGTCAAAATCCAACATCAAGCGGTGTTAATATAACACCACGAATTATGGTTAAAAATGTGTACCGATCGCGGCAAAGGCGGTGTGGATCACGTGATGTTCTTAAATCTCGCCTCTGTTGACCTACATGAAGAATATATAAACTTAGGTAATCCTTTGCTTTGGTGTGACACTACAAGTTGTTCGATACTAAAGAGACCTTAAATAGGTGGAAACAGCTGTCAATACTTGAAGTATTTTAAGTTAGTGCAACGCACTAAAAAAATTATCTCTAGCGAGTTGAAGGTTCCATTTTCTGGAATAATACCACTGGTAATATACTAGTAATGCGTCAAGGAACTTCCTGTTTCCTTTTTTTCTGTGTAGTATGATTTAATTTGTCCACAAACACATAATATTTAACACTGAAAAGGAGTTCAATTAACACCAAGTAAAATTTATTTTAATACTGTGTGAACACCATTTAAGTATTTGAATTTACACCGGCCAACGAACCTTATTTAACACCATTTCGGTTTGTATCGATATAGACCATGTTTGGTGTTAATTTGGTGTTAAAATGGTCATGAAATTTTGAACAGTGTATATACACTGTATATACACGGTGCTGTTCTGAGAGGTGACTTTTGGACTTTCTGTGAAACCTAATTTTTTTTATATTCTTGTTAATTAGGTCATAACTAAAATTTTAAGAGCAAAATAAAAAAATTTGACGGTTAATTTTGTTTTAATTGGATGTTTATTAAAAATATGTATGAACAGTTTCAATTCTCCAATTAAAACTTGCGATTTTATTTAAATATTATCATAACTTTTTAAATCAGATTAAAGATTAGTTAATTTCGTAAAAAAAATGTATACATTTTTTATATCTTTTACTGTTTTGTCGTAATACACGTTTAAAGTTTTAATTTAAGGTAAAATGTATAGTATACATTTATTAAACAATAATTCTAAGGGTGCCACATTTTATTTAGGTCCGATTTATTCATTTTTGATTTATTTGACGAATAATTTCTTTGGATACTAGATATTGCCAAGACATGAAAGTTATCGGCCCGTTAAACTTTACTAAAGATGAATAAACCGGTCCTTAGTTAAATTTCATGAATTTCTTCGTAACTTTTACTACAATTTTTCATTTTTGTTTATAAAAAACACTTTAAAAAACTAAACAAAAATTATATAATACGTATACTGAAAATGACAATTCAAACGTCAAATAAATTTTTAATAGTTTCATGGCAACCTTTAAGGATATATTAATTAAGGGAACATAAATGTATACGTCAAGGGTTAGATTAAAAGTTTGAACGTTTATTGCAACAAAACAGTAAAATATATAAAAAAAATTGTAAAACCTTTTTTTTAGTTATGCAAATTAAATCGCTAGTTTTAATTGCATAATTGAAAGAGTGCATAATATTTTTAATAAAAAGCCATTTAAAACAATTCAAACCGTCAAATTTTTTTGGTTTACTAGATTTGTTTTTTGGCCAATAAAATAATTTATATGAGTCTTTAACGACTGATTTAAAATATGGATAACAATACAGCATTTTTGTTGTAAATATATATGAAAAAATATATTAAGAAGGTAAACAAACCATAATAAAGATATAATTAAAAAATAACATTTTTTTAACATAAAATTACTGTTATGTTAATCATATCAAATATCTTTGATGTTTTTTTTGTCTGACCAAAAAGCTGAATGCTCGATTAATTTATTAGTATATTTAGTTCCATTGTAAAAGAAATTCTAAGAATTAAAGAATTACCCCTAACAATATACTTGGGTAAAAATACTTAGAGCTGAAATTATCTTGAAAAAAAAAAGATACTTGAAAGTAACTTTAATATAAATAAGGTGTTCATTAAAATACTTTATTTAGATACAACTATACATCTATATACACTAACATTTATTTATTGCGTCTTATGGCCTCAAGTCTTCGCGTTAAGGCTGAAGGTATATTCCGCCTTTTCATATCTTTGTCGAAAATATTTTCATCAACTTGGGTAAGCAGTTTTTTGGCTTCCTTCTTTTCAACACGGGAATTTCCATTTAGAGCCTTGAAAACCGTTTTCTGCTGGTGATTTTCAAGGGTTAACTTGTAAACATTACCAAACTCTTCTTCTTTTATTATATTTTTGTAGTATACTTCCATATCCGATGGTAGAATACCATAGCCAATATTGGAAACTTCCAGTGAAAACATAAGCCAATTTTTTATACATTCGTCTTCAGTGGTCAGTAAATTCGTTCTTACATCCAAAATTATTTGCCTAAACTTCTCCCTTTGATTCTCTTTTAAGGAAACACCGTTGAGGAACATTTGCGAGGCAAATAATTTAACATTTTCTACTTCCTTTGACTTCAATAGCAAACTCAGCAGCGATATCAAAGGTCCGCTTAGAAACACCAAAACCTCACCTGAAGCAGTACGAGCTTTGTTGTAAAAAAACCCAAGTATTCTTACGGACATTCTGGAACCATCATCCGTCACAAAGCCTGATTTCTTGGTAGAATCGAATTTTTTATGCATTCGTCTAAGGAATAATGCACGGACGTTCTCCCCTGCTACTTCCAGCGTCACAAATTTGATCGATGTCAACAGTAGCAAAACTTTTGCTGACAAAACTGCATCCTTCAGACTATATTTGTAGAGAGACTTGACGCTTTTTCGTACATCCTCTTTGGTCGGGCAGTTCGCAGTCCATTTTTCCAGAATGAACCTTATTTTTTGGTTAAAACGAATTCCATCATCGTTGATGTCCAAGAATTTTATTCTCGCTTGTAGTTCTGAATTTGCTGACATGGTTGTTGTTCACTCTGTAAAACTTGTTTATATAATGATTTGTTTGATTTGGGTGTGGAATTATATAATTATGATCTCTACCTATTATCTGTTGAGGTATGTTAGTGCAGTTGCAATTATTATTAAGATTTATACCAGTTTTGTATTTTTGGGTAAGGAATAATTATACCTGGCGAATTCAAAACATATTTTTAGTGTAATGTCATAAAATTAAAAGTAATAGATATTAAAATAAAAAGCACATACCTAACATTGACGAATTTAAAAATGACGATATGCTTAAATAAATAGAAAAAAATACAAATTTTAGTAATGATTTTAGTAAAAATTGTAAACATTTCAATTTAGTAAAAATCATAGAACAAGTAATGCAGAAACGTTGATTTGTTTATATAAACTGATTTAGCATATCAGTGGATTTAGGTTTTTGCACGACATGGCAACGCAGTAATTTTCTTTAAAAACTGTTATTTTATAAAATAAATTATCTTTAACACGTTTTTAACAGCATTTTTGTTTGTAAATACATATATATGAAAAAATATATCCAAAAGGTAAACAAACCTATAATAAAGATATAATTAAAAAATAACATTTTTATAAACATAAAATTACTGTTATGTTAATCATATCAAATATCTTTGTCTGACCAAAAAGCTGAATGCTTGAAATTAATTGATTTATTAGTTTATTTAGTTCCATTGTAAAAGAAATTCTAAGAATTAAAGAATTACCCCTAACAATATACTTGGTTGAAAATATTTATTGATACATTTTATTATTATTAAAAACACTCAGAGCTGGGAGTATCTTGAAAAAAAAAGATACTTGAAAGTATCTAAGATACTTTATCTTAGATACTTTTATATTGGACAGAAAGTATCTTTAACTTAGTTACTTTGTAAAAGTATCTTGTAACTTGTATCTAAAAAAGTATCATTCAAGTAACTTAGATACTTTAAAGTAACTAAGATACTTTTTAAAGTAACTTAGATACTTTCTTAGAGAAAATTGGGGGAAATTCCAGAATGATTCAAAGTAATTACCTAACCTATAACTTGTTGAATTTTCATAATTTTATAGTTTTTATTCAAACTTAAAAGCAACTTATTTACTCAAAAGTATCTTAGTTACTTAAAAATATCTTGGTTACTCAAAAGTATCTCGTAGATACTTTCGGATAGTATCTTAGATACTTTTTAAAGTATATTGTAACTAAAGATACTTTTATAAAAGTTATAACTCAAAGTATCTAGTTACCAGAGGTAACTAACTAAGTTATTTTGTATCTTAGAAAAGTAACTAGATACATCGTGACCTTGGAATGACAAGGTTCTAAGTGCAGCTGCCCCGTTAAGCAAAAATGCCTTACCTGGAATAATTAATATTCTAGATAAGTCATTTTTGCTTAACGGTGCAACTGCACTGCAACTGCACTTTCAGAAGTAACTTTCCCAGCTCTGGAAACATTACCTCATACCTTCCATTAATGTTTACTTTTTAATAGAATACTTAGATAATTAAAAAAGTACGATTATGATGTTTAATAAGCATGCACATATAAATAAATATTTTTTTAAATAAATTTGTAACTTTATAAATTAAATTTATAAGATATACAATGAACTACCAAGAAATATAAAAAATAATTTACTCCCTAAATCTTAAAAAAAAAATGTGCAGGAACTATATAATGCAGCGTCCTAGAGAATTTTCAAATAAGCAAATAGATCTTTAAATAACTTTTAATTTTTATTCAGAATTTTAAATTTATACGATTTTAACCACTTACCTGAATTGATTTGAATTGATTTAAATACAGAAATATATACAGATTTGAGGCACCTTAACCTTAATTTTAATTTTAGGATTAGTTAATTAGGTTAATTTTAATTTTAAGATTAGTTAATTAGGTTAATATTTTATTGTGGTATTGTCAGAAACTTGTGATTGTTTATATGTTTATCTTTGGAATAATACCTACTTTTTATAATAATAATAATAAATAATAATAATAATTTTATTTTCACAAATTAAAGCTGATTACATACAATCACAGGTAATAAACAACTTTGAAGATGAAGAACGTCAAGCTAAAAGAAACAAAAAAAAAACAAACAATATTAAGAAAAAAAGAACAGAGAACTAACAGCTACATATTTAACAGAAAATTTAAGATAGTTTACCAGAATTCATTCAAAGAATATGGTTCCAATTCAACCAAATAGGAAACAACAAGGTTTTTATATTTATTTGCGTTTTTTGTTTGTTTAATGTTATTAGGCATCCTATTGTAGGCTCGCAAACAAGAGTAGTAACTTCCTTTCTGAAATTGATTTAACCTGTGTTTAGGGAAATTGTAGTTTAAAGTTCTGTCACTAGCACCTTTCATTTGTAAGAACAAATTACTGTGCTTAAAAACAAAGATCAGTAGTTCATAAATGTACACAGCAGTAACAGTCATAACATTGCATCGCCTGAAGTGACCTCTACACGATTCCGTATACTTTAAACCCAATATTGTCCTCATGGTGCGCTTCTGAATAGCAAAAATCTCTCGAATAACCGAGCGTTGCCCCCAGAAAATTATACCGTATTTAAGTATGGATTCAAAATTTGAGTAGTAGACCATCTTCAGGGTTTCATAATCCAGATATGGTTTCAGTACCCTAAGCATGTACAAGGCCGCAGTCAGTTTTTTACAAAGTGTTTCTAGCTGATATTTCCAACTAAGATTTTCGTCTAGAATCAGACCAAGAAACTTTGTTTGCTCGGTGGTGTTGACAATGACGTCATCAAATGGTACATGGCAAGGTGTGATAAAATTAGATTTAAGTGTTTTGAAATAAATTATGTTGGTTTTTTCTTTATTCAAAATAAGTTTGTTTTTCGTGAACCAATTTAGCAGTTTTTTAATGTTTTCTTCCAACATTATCATAACTTGGTCTAAACTTTCAGCTTTTAGAATCATGTTAGTGTCGTCTGCAAAGTTAACTAAATTACCAAATGCCACAGATGACGCCATGTCATTTACGTAAATTAAGAATAACAACGGCCCTATAACACTACCCTGAGGAACCCCCAGGGGTACCAAAACCGGATCTGAAACGTCAGTATTACCATCCTTCGTTACCTCAACAGCCTGCGTCCTCATGTTTAAAAAAGACCGTATCCAGCGCAGTGCATTTCCTCTCACCCCATATTTCTCAAGCTTGGTAGAAAGTATTTCATGATCAATGGTTTCAAAGGCCTTTGAAAGGTCCAAGAACACTCCAATTATCACTTCACGTTTCTCAAAGCCCAAGAGTATCTCCTGTGAGAAATCATGCACCGCGGTGGACACTGACCTCTTCCTCATGTAACCATGCTGTGATGCACTAAAAAGATTGTTAATATTAAAAAAATCTACTACTCTAACTGCCATGGCGGTTTCAAAAATTTTCGAAAATGATGACAACAAGCTTATTGGCCTGTAGTTTTCTATTTGAGTTGGGTCGCCTTTTTTTAATATAGGTTTTACTTTAGCTATCTTTAAAGATTCTGGAAACACACCATGTAGACAAGAGTTATTGACAATGTAGGTTAAAGGCTCACATAGTTCAGGGATAGAATATTTAATTACAGTCATAGGAATCTCATCCATACCACTACTAGTCTTGTTCTTAAGATTTCTGACAATATCACACAATTCAGTACATGTTACAGGATTAACAAACATGCTTTTAACATTGTTTTTTATATCACAAGTATAATCTATTTGTTCTAAATCATCAGTTAATCTCTTAACAGTATTTATAACAAATTTATTCATTTTAGTTGAAATATTTTTTGAGTCTCCTGGTACAAGAATATCTGATTTATTTTTTCCCCCTTTTATATCTTTTACAACACTCCAGGAGGTTTTACTTTTATTGCCAGAAAGCATGATTTTATTATTATAAAAAATTTTCCTAAAATTAATTAACAAATTGTTATATATAGTGTTGATTTATTTTTAGATTGTTTTTTTGTTTATTTATTTTTATTTATATGTACACACACAAATGTATTACATTTAAGTGTATTTAGCATATTTATCGAACTTTTTATAATATAATTGTTAAATTGCGAATTTGTAAAATTTGTTCAATAAATATTACTATTATTATTATTATTAAATAAAGAATCTAGGGCAAAAGATTATAAAATAAAATTAAATAGGTACTTTTAAAGAATTTTAAATTTTAGATCACTTATTTTCTGCTTTAAAATTTTTAAATTATGAGTTAGAATAGGTTTTGGGTAAAAGGAGTAACAACAAGGTTGAGGGGACTCTTTTTTCTTAGGGATTTCTGGGAGGAAATTTACACTCTATTATTTCTCCTGTAAGAATAATAAAATGTATTTGTTTGTTTTTGAAAAATAAAATGTAGGAACAAAAGGGCAACAACATATTTTAAATTAAAAATGCATTTTATATTTATTAACAGTTTTTGTCAATAATACAAGGTTAAAAGACATTTTCTTATATTTTTGGTTCAAATTGTTTTTAGCATTTGTAATATTTATTTTACAAATAATTAAAAATATGATCTTCAAAATATATTTTAATTTTTTAAAATAAAATACACATGTGCAGGGTAAAAAAGCTGTGCTAGAACTGAAAGAGTAAAATTTTAAAATATGCTTTATTAAGATAACAGTTTTTAATTTTTTTATATATTTTTCTGTATAAATTATAATTTTTTTTCATTGGGTTTAATTTAACATTTTAAAAAAGCAAGGATTCTTGCCCCATATCCAGCAGGATGGCATTTAAAATTTGCGATGTTGCAAAATTGGTTCCAACTTAAATCAGTCTGATTTCAAACAGCATTATGCATTATTAAAAGCGTTCATTGAGAAAGTCTCCACTCAAAGGTAAAAAAACTAAAACAGGTATTGTCGTTTACTTTTTTAAAATGCTGTTGTCGGCGTTTTTTTATATTTGTACAACTAGTATTTTTTGTTATATTAAAAATGTCCAAACTTAAATATAAATTTTGTTAGGTAAAGTTATTATTAGTTAATTCTGCACCAACAAATATACGTACCGAATTGGATCTTTTGGCAAAATTACATTTACAATATATTATAATTATTAAGAATACAATAATTCACCATGATCGTTTAGGTAAAATACACACTACGTATGTAACTATAGGAAAAATATTGTTTGTGCAGTCATAAGTATAATATTTATTATTTAATTTGTAGAAGTGTATAC